ACATCCACTATCATAAATTACAGACAAGCAGAAGATCTCTTGGTCTACCGCTGCTTCATTACAAAGACGTATGCAAGCGGGACATGAATGAAACAGGTATTGAGGTAAAATCATGGGAACAAGATGCCACACATCGCATTGCATGGAGAAGAAAGATCAGGATGAAAATAGAGGCAAAAGAGAAGGTGATTGCAGATAGACTAAGAGCTGAGCCTTTGAGAAGAAAAACATGCAATGACAAAAATTGTCCTGAATTACCATGCAGCCACAGTGGAAAACATTTCTTGTTGCATGCTGGCCTTGCGAACCACCACCATAGGTTTTTTTTCTCTTTATAGCACAGTACTATCGTCTGGAAAGACGGAAAGGTGCCAACATGATTTCGCAATACAGTCCTGTCTCAATATTTCCTTGTTGATCAGCAATGTTGTCATCACTGCAGTGAACTAATTAATCAACACTCTACCACTGTAAGCCAGTTGATACGTCTCAAATGTCCATCAGACACATGGCAAAACACCGATGTCTCACATATGCCACTGCTTAAAGTCCTAAAGGAGTAGAAAGGTTCAAATGTCTGCTGCTGTAGGCTTCGGGACACACCAGGGCAAGTCATGCTTGATGCAGGCTGTCTCAACACTGTGATGACAAGCATGCAGATGAAACAACGTTAAAGGCGTCTAACAGGCTAAAGAGGAAGGTACCTATCTGTGTGATCATCAAAGCTGCAGACATACGGGCTGTTCCCTGCTGATCTCCAGAGGGCGCAGCCCGTGGCGAGTGGGTAGCTCAACCTACGAATATGAGGTTGTTATGATTCTTTGGGTGAGCCCAGAAATAGAGCATCATGTGTCGGCTCTGCCGTTGTGGAAAACTCCTTGGATGGCAGGGAATGCCCATGGTCTGCCCCTGTCTTCCTATGAGGGTTACCCTGGACTGATTTCTGTAGATAAGAGAACAAAGAATACACCATACAGAAAAGGCTATGAAGTGTCCCTGTCCCATAAAACTATCCAAAGATGTAATTGCGTTGTGCCCATTTACAGCACAGCTGTGATATTTGTGCCTTTCGGCCAACACATCTGACTTCTGCAGGCATTTGTTGACCAGGTTAGCTTTCCTGATAAAATTTTATTTAGTAGAGTAAAAGCCTTTGTTCACTTTGACCATGTTTTTTTTTGGAGGGGGAGGGGGGCTGCAGTTAAGATTTCCAGGGGTTGAAATGATTAGCTTCACAACAACCTACTTTAGTCACTTCTTACAATCAGCATGGTAGGTCACAGTGTTACTGTTCATTGTTTCCCTTGAAGGCCCCAATTACACACTAGTGAATGTTTAGGATTTAACAAGTGGATACTTTAGAAGTATACATGACAAACAGAGAATTAATCCTTTCTTCTTTGCAGGTATCCAAAGTATAATAATGATAGCTCACGGCTGAAAGATGATAATGTTTCCACTGGCTCATCTTGGAAGATTGATAATAATATCTCAACGGAGAAAATTGATAACCGTGTCTCAGCCCGGAGACACAAACGTGAAATCTCACCGAGAGCCAGTCTTGAGAAAATCAACAGTGCATATTCCACAGCAGTGTGACCCGATCACAACATAACTTGATTCTTGGACTTCATTCGTGTGACTGTTTTCAGTTGTATTGTTTATATCATGTGTTTTGCATTGCAGCAAATTCTGACAGACATTGTCAGACATTTTGTATGTGTCAGTTCTTTTTTAAGTACCCGATTGTTTCCAAGGAGATGGCCAAAGACATAAGTAACCTCTATGAAAATACTTAGTGTTTAATACTGTCGAAGGAGCTAGAAAAGCCAGATTTTTCTATTTTGTTGCAACCAAATGTAAAATGTAAAAGAACACATTGCACACATGGGATTCACAGAAGAGCTAATCACACATCACATGTTACTTAGGACTGAAAGAATTAATTTTAAAAAATGTTGATTCCAATGCCTGACCATCCTTGCACATACACAAGAAGTTCAAATATACTTCAGGGTAGATAAGGAGGGATTGGAGATAGAAAAGATTAACAGTTTTGACTTTAAAACTTCTTACAAAGACAAATTATTTCGGGTTGTGCTTTTCAAACTCTAAAAACACCATATCTGTCTCTACTTGAAATTTCTGAAATTTCTGTTGGAAAACTCAAACTGAATGTAACATTAGACCTTTCTCCTCTCTTAAAAGAAATTGGGCTCCCGTACACATATAGATACATGTTTAGTGTTTAAACCCTTTATAGACTTGTTTAAGCTTAGTACAAAGTAATCCTCTTGTTGGTTTAAGCTTAGTACAAAGTAATCCTCTTGTTGATTTAAGCTTAGTAAAAAGTAATCCTCTTATTGGTTTAAGCTTAGTACAAAGTGTAACCCTCTAGTTGGTTTAAGCTTAGTACAAAGTAATCTACTTGTTGGTGTAAGCTTAGTACAGAGTAATCCTCTTGTTGGTTTAAGCTTAGTACAAAGTGTAACCCTCTAGTTGGTTTAAGCTTAGTACAATTCTCTTGTTGGTTTAAGCTTAGTACAAAGTGTAACCATCTTGTTGGTTTAAGCTTAGTACAAAGTAATCCTCTTGTTGGTTAAAGCTTAGTACAAAGTAATCCTCTTGTTGATTTAAGCTTAGTACAAAGTAAACCTCTTGTTGGTTTAAGCTTAGTACAAAGTAACCCTCTTGTTTTTTTAAGCTTAGTACAAAGTAAACCTCTTGTTGGTTTAAGCTTAGTACAAAGTAATCCTCTTGTTGGTTTAAGCTTAGTACAAAATAATCCTCTTGTTGGTTTAAGCTTAGTACAAAGTAGCCCTCTTGTTGGTTTAAGCTTAGTACAAAGTAATCCACTTGTTTGTTTAAGCTTAGTACAAAGTAATCCACTTGTTGGTTTAAGCTTAGTACAAAGTAATCCTCTTGTTGGTTTAAGCTTAGTACAAAGTAATCCTCTTGTTGATTTAAGCTTAGTAAAAAGTAATCTTCTTATTGGTTTAAGCTTAGTACAAAGTGTAACCCTCTAGTTGGTTTAAGCTTAGTACAAAGTAATCTACTTGTTGGTGTAAGCTTAGTACAAAGTAATCCTCTTGTTGGTTTAAGCTTAGTACAAAGTGTAACCCTCTAGTTGGTTTAAGCTTAGTACAAAGTGTAACCCTCTAGTTGGTTTAAGCTTAGTACAATTCTCTTGTTGGTTTAAGCTTAGTACAAAGTGTAACCCTCTTGTTGGTTTAAGCTTAGTACAAAGTAATCCTCTTGTTGGTTAAAGCTTAGTACAAAGTAATCCTCTTGTTGATTTAAGCTTAGTACAAAGTAAACCTCTTGTTGGTTTAAGCTTAGTACAAAGTAACCCTCTTGTTTTTTAAGCTTAGTACAAAGTAAACCTCTTGTTGGTTTAAGCTTTGTACAAAGTAACCCTCTTGTTTTTTTAAGCTTAGTACAAAGTAATCCTCTTGTCGGTTTAAGCTTAGTACAAAGTAATCCTCTTGTTGGTTTAAGCTTAGTACAAAGTGTAACCCTCTTGTTGGTTTAAGCTTAGTACAAAGTAATCCACTTGTTGGTTTAAGCTTAGTACAAAGTAATCCTCTTGTTTGTTTAAGCTTAGTACAAAGTAATCCTCTTGTTGGTTTAAGCTTAGTACAGAGTAATCCTCTTGCCCTGAGACCCCACAGATCCTGTATTATGTATCCATTACTAATCCCTAAGAAGCCGCTTAACTTGCATTCTTGCATTGGCCAGTCTCCGAGAAGTCTAGTTAATCAATGGTATTTATTCTGTTTGTGCCCGCACAGTGTGCCCGGCTCTCTAGCATAGTTGGCTAAACCGGATTGCGAGGTGAGCGGGTGACGAACTCCTTGTGGTCCGGGTTCACTCCCTGGGCTAGGCAGTAAAGCCACATTTCTCCCAGATTTACGGTATTTACAATGGAATCAAGGCCGAATGGTTGCGATATCCATAATACCGAGCCTAAGGGTTAACAACTCATGGCTTCTGGATACTAAAACAAACAAACAACAAACCTGCACAGTGTTTAGGACCCTGAAGTGTGATTAAATGTGTGGGGGTTTTACTGTGAAAAAAATGGCTTCTCTAGACAAATTTGTCAAAATTCTCTAGTAACTTAACTTTTAGTAATAGGAGTCACAAGGTCAATGGTATGAATACTGTGTGAATGAATTTTTAGTGTAATTGGACTAGTTGTTTAATTCTTCACTTCTTTTGTGTTTCCTGTTTACTCTCTTTAATTTCTTTTTAAAAAAAAATTAAAAATAAAATGTTAAGAAGTTAGAATGTGAAAATATAATAATACACAATAGCTCACTGTGTGGTTGCTGGCGTGTTGTATGTTGTTGTAGCAGAAAGAGGTCATGTTTATTTTGTTCTGTTTCACTTGTAATTATATGATGTAAATTGAATGTTTTATACTTTTAAATACTGTAATAAATGTTATTTTAAATGTCTGATTTTTGTACATTTTATCACTTCATAAAATATCTGCAAAATGATCTGCAGAATGACAGTGTCATTAATGAAGTTTACTCTTAATGTCTCCTGTACATTTTAAAATTGTTTCAGTCTAATATAAAATGTACATGTCATAACTATGCATAACAGAGAAACATGTGGTTCCAACAGAGACTTTAGTTAGTAAAAAGATAAAGCTAACAAATCTCAGAAGACACTAAACATAACTGCTAAACTGAAAAGCAGGACGAATGGATGGGTCAGGAGACGGCAGGAAACCCACAACCTTGAAAAGCCTACAATAACTTCATGTCAAGAGGTGTTGGCAAACATGAACATTATACGGGTAGCCAAAGAAGAAAAGTAAACCAGCACATAACTGGAATTATCTGTTGCCACATGTGGAGGAAGATACAAAAGATGGGATGAAAGGAGTTACAGGCTTGTCCACTATGCTGTCAGGATGATCGGTTGATTAATTAAATCAGCTTAAAAAGTAAACTGATTGTAGATTTTACTGTTATTTTTACCCACAGCTACCCAACGTACAACCCTTCAGCAGCTAGCAGAAAGAATGAAAGAGCGGACATACCAATGACGTCTGACTACTGAATCAAAGCATCATAGTTACTTCCCTTATGGATGAACGTGAAATTTACTGTGATAAAGACAGACCCAGCAAGTTGACCGCACTAGTTAATGTTTTCACATCTACATTGCAGACCACTTAAGGCGATCCAATCGGGGATACTGGCGAACCTTCCTGTTGTGGGGACAAATAGTTTTAAATGCCACAAAGAGTTTTTTCCTTTTTCCTCCCTATTCTTTTCCCCCCTCCTATAGTTGAAATCCTATTCGATAGAGGGATTTCTGATTAATAGAACTATTTCTTGGGTCCTTCAGTGAG